AATCAAATTGATTTTAAATGGTTTAAAGAAATTCTGACTTTGTGGAAGCAAAATATAAGAAAATTAGGAATGGTTTAAAACTTCAGTAAAAGTATTGTGAGTATAGAATTACAAATAATCTTGAACCTGAATCTTGAAACATCTGTATTGTTTTTTTGGGCTCTGCAAAAGTGCAAATCGAATGAGCGAGACATTACTGATTGTTTGTTTGTGATATTAAAAATAAATTCAGTTAAGGTGAGTAAATGTGTTTTTGTGTGTTTACGGAGGAACTTTATCACACTTTCAAAGTTTTCACCCTTTTATCGCTGACAGGAGGTTCACTTGTGTTACGCTGGCTGCACGTTTTGGCTCGTTCCAGCGAGGCCGAGTTTCCAGCAGAACCATGTTCAGCTTGGCTGCGTGTCAGACACTCTGGATAATTTGATTTCATGCAAATTTGTCTTTAAAATGCAATAAAGGTAACAAATAAATAAATAAAGTTTTGGCAGAAAACTCATGCTAGTTTACTGGTAACATGTGGAGAGGTTGCAATGAACATTTGAAATGTTCTTACCTAAATCTTATTTCATTAAAGTCCTGGCTGTTGTTGTTGTTGGTTTAAGTTATGATTAAATACATTGTTTACAAGTTTACTAAGAAGATTTGATGGCTCTCAGCTTGTTCTTTCACTTTCTTGACAAAAAAATGAAGCGAACAAAACGTAAAAAAAAAAAAAAAACGTGTTATCTTTCCGTTGAACAAGTTCATATACTCCATGAGCTTTTTGCCTTAAAAAAAACATACAACAATTTCTAATCACTTGAGCAGAACTTACAATAAGAGTAATTAATAAAATTGTATTTGTGCTACCTTGCACCAAAAGTTGCCTCTTGGAACAGCCGTTTAACTTCTAAACTGTTTTTGTTTAACTGACTTTAAAGCCTCCCAACTATTATTATGAATAGAAACAAACTGTTCCATGAGGCACAATAAAATAAAATCTGCTGGAGGTTTCTTGCTGCAGCCTGTTGCAACATCCCACCGAGTCGCTGTAAACATGTAGAGGTTTCCATAGGAGCTCTGTGTGTGTATACTTTGACTTGTTGAGGTATTTGCAAGTTTTAAATGAAAGATTTATCTCTTTTTTACTTCGAGTACATTGACACAGCATCCACCCCCCACCCCCAGTATATTTAATCACTGCCATAAACAGATGGTTGTGCACATTTTCTCCAAAACAATGGAGCTCAGAAACAATTTATGAAATGAACTGATTGCCTGAATCCAAAACTACTGACTCATTGTTTGTATAGACAAAAAAAAAAGACAGTTTTAAATTCAATTAAACTCAGTTCAGTTTATTTATGTAGCACCAGGTTACAACAGAACTCATCTCAGGGCACTGAACAGAAACAGTCATATATAAAAAATAATAATTTAACACCATTTGTCTGAAGAGCAGACTGCTTTGAGTTTAACTCTCATCTTGAGCAAGCATGAAGGCGACAGTGGGAAGGAAAAACTCCCTCACGAGGAAGAAACCTTTAGCAGAACCAGGCTCAGGACAAGAGGACCATCTGCTTCGACCGCCTGGGTTTGAGAGGAACAGATACACAATGGCAGGTCAAGAATCACATGTTAAGATAGAAATAGTATCAAATGAAAACTATTCAATTTTAACAAAACATTTAAGGACATTAAGTCAATTTGTCCTCTAGTAGTGTAAGCCTATAGCAGCATAACAAACCAAATGGAGTTATCAAACAGGAAAGTCTTAATCCCAGTCTTAAAACTGGACAATGTTTCAGCCTCACGGACAGAATCTGGAAGTTGGTTCCACAATAGAGGAGCCTGATAACTGAAAGATCTTCCTCCCCTTCTGCTTTTGGAAACTCTACGAACCGCAAGTAAGCCTGCAGTCTGAAAATATGAAATATTAAGATCTCAATTATAAGATGGAGCTAGGTTGTTGAGAGCTTTGTAGGTTAGAAGTAAGATTTTGAATTATGTTCTGGATTTGACAGGGAGCCTGTGGAGGGAAGCTAAAACTGGAGAAATATGATCTCTACTACTAACTCCAGTTAAGACTCTGGCAGCAGCATTTTGGATCAACTGAAGACGTTTTAAAGAAGTATTTGGACACCCAGATAACAAACCATTGCAATAGTTCAGAAGTGACAAACAAATGAACCAGTTTTTCTGCATCATTTTTAGATAAGATGTTTCTAAGTTTAGTGATATTACGCAGGTGGAAGAAGGAGGTTCTAGTAACGTTTTAATGTGGGGGATAAAAAACATGTCCTGATCAAAAATAACACCAAGATTTTTAACATTAGAGCTGGAGGACAGATTAATGCATCTAAGGAGGGAGAAAGACTCAAAAATTCATTCCTAAGGTGCTCAGGTCCAAAAACCAAAACCTCAGTCTTGTCTGTGTTCAAAAGGAGAAAATTTAGGGTCATCCTGGTTTTTATGTCTTCAAGATATGCTTGTAGTCTAAGTAACTGATTGGATTCATTGGGTTTCATGGACAAATATAACGGTGTGTCATCAGCATAACAATGCAATGTTTTGCTTTTCATGTCGTTCCCCCGCCAGCCCAAAATGATTTGGAACATGTAAATATAGTAAAAGCAAAGGTCAATTATCCCAAACTACAACAATGATTAATTAATATTCGTAATTTTAAAAAAAAGAGGCTAATTAAAATGCACAAAGTTGTTTGTTTGAAAAAAAATCTAAAGAGCTGTTTAAATAGTTAATTAACAAAAATAATGTGAGAATGATGTGAACCTTTCATCTGTTTGTCTTTATACAATATTCTCAATATTTTGTTCAGTTTTATTGACAAGTCTTATAATGACCACACAATTTACTTTTTTTCTAAAGTAATATACAGTATATATTTCTATTTGTATTTGCAGCTAAATTTATTTCAGGGTTATTGCTTTAAGTTTGTAAATACCTACAAAACTCTCTCCTCTATTGTTCACTCTTTAACTTCATTTATGACATAAAAGCTGAGCAGCTTACATCAAACTTTGTTCTTTGAACTAATCAGTTAAAAAGATGGAAACTGTTTTAACATCATCGATACTAGTGAACGTTGTGTTTATCTGACGTCAGACCAGACACAGAATCGAGGTTATTACTTCACAAACACAGTAACACTACTTTCTACTTAAATCCTGAAGATTTAACGTGTATAAAAAAAATAAGATGTCTTTGGAAGCAAATTGTTACATTTACCATCAAATTCATGATCAAATACGCTTCCAGATCAACCAAACCTTGACAGTTGGATATTTCTAGGACATCCTTTGTGTCGAATGTGGCTCTTCTCAACACTTCTGTCCTTAGTGACCTGAAAAAAGCACAAATCAAAGTTGACACGGACACGTCGAGCTGAGATTTTATGACGACATTCACAGCCACGATGTCACCATCTCATATAAGTCCTAATTAAATAAATGTATAAATTTATTAGTCCCAGAATGAATTTGGCACATCATGGATAAGCCATAGATCACAGAGCAATTATTTTCTTCAGAAAGTTATATCTCAGTGGTGAATTCAGAGAAACTGCAGCAAAACGTAACCTTTGATTGAACAGAGGGAGGGATTAGCATGCAAATGGCTGCCATTGATCATCCTTCTGAGCATAGGGTAATGTCCGGTGAATGATACTTATCAAGCTCCATAAGTGCTCTTCCCAATAAATACACAGCGCAGGTCATTTGTTCTGGGATTCAAGAGCTGATGGATATGGGATTACCACTTAACCTTGGAGTAATTCCAAGACATTACTTAAATCATCTAATACATTATCTATCCCATAACGGCTTGACCAGTCTTTAAGGACATCACTTCATAATGCAAAATTTGTTTTATGTGAAAAATTAAACCGGAGGTGTTGGTGACCTATTCATCATCTGGAAGCAGTCATAAGAGTGCAGCTTTATTTTTTTTTATAAACTGACTCTTGTGTGGCTTTAATGATGATTTTTAAACCTTTATAAACCTTTTCTCTCAGAATGACAGTGAATTTCTCTATGTTTGTCTGATGCAGCAGGTTTGAGCGATTCTTGTTAAAAGCTGGTTTTCATTTCCCAACGCTCGACCCTGACCGTGTCCACTGTTGTTAATGTTAGAAAACATCCACTCCTCAGAATCCTCAGAAGAGTGAACGTTACTGTTTTTTACGTAAACATGTAAAACCCTTTTAAAACTGTAACATCCCCTCCTGATCATATTTAGTGTTTTGATTTCTCCACATGAAACTTTTGATCCTTTACGGCAGTATCTTTAATATTACAGTAGCATGCGAGTATGCCCGTACAGCTCCTCACAAAGCCATTTCATGGGGTCTGAGCCATACAATCCCATTTTGCCTGTACATTCAATGATAATGATTCTGTCCTCTTGTGTTAGCTCACGGAACAAAAATATAAATGCAACAATTTTGTTTTTGCTTCCATTTTTTTAGAGCTAAATTCAAAGATCTCAATTTTTCTGTGTACACAACAGTTCTTTCTCTCTCAAATATTGTTCAAATTTGTGTTAATCTGTGTTAGTGAGCATTTCTCCTTTGCTGAGATAATCCAGCCACCTCTCAGGTGAGGAATATCAAGATGCAGATTAGACAGCATGATTGTTGTGCAGGTGTGCCTTAGGCTGACCACAATAAAAGGCCACTCTAAAAATGTGCCGTTTTATCACACAGCACAATGACACAGATGTTGCAGGTTTTGAGGGAACGTACAATTGGCATGCTGACTGCAGGAATTTCCATGTTCAGATAATTTGGCAGTGCATCCAAGTGGCCCCACAACCACAGAACATGTGTAGCCACACCAGCCCCCCGTGTTTGTTGTCCATAACATACGGCTGCACCGTAACTCCACCACGGGCCACTCGATTCACAACGTTGACATCAGCAAACCGTTCACTCTCATGCTGCCATACATACAGTCTGTCATCTGCCCTGTACAGTGAAAATGGGGATTCATCTGTGAAAGGAGCACCTCTCCATTGTGTCATACACCATCAAATGTGAGCATTTGCCCACTCAAGTCAGGTACAACAACAAATGGCAGTCAGGTGGAGACTCCGATGAGGATGATGAGCATTCAGATGAGCTTCCCTGAGGGTTTCTGACAGTTTGTGCAGAAAGTCTTTGGCTATACAAACCGACTGTTGCAGCAGCTGTCCAGGTGGCTGGTCTCAGACCATCTTGGAGGTGAAGATGCTGGATGTGGAGGTCCTGGGTGGTGTGGTTACACTTGGTCTGCAGTTGTGAGGCCGCTTGGATGTACTGCCAAATTCTCTGAAACACATTTGAAGACATCTTATGGTAGAGAAACGAACATTCAATTCATGAGCAACAGCTCTGGTGGACGTTCCTGCAGTCAGTCCTGCTCCCTCAGAACCTGCAGCATCTGTATCATTGTGCTGTGTGATAAAACTGCACTTTTTGCGTGGCCTTTTATTGTGGTCAGCCTAAGACACACCTGTGCAATAATCATGCGGTCTAATCAGCATCTTGACATGACTCACCTGTGAGGTGGATGGATTATCTGTGCAAAGAAGAAGTGCTCACTAACACAGATTAACACAAATTTGGGAACAATATTTAGAGAGAAAGGCCTTTAGTGTACACAAAAAGTCTTAGATATTTGAGTTCAGCTTGTGGGAATCGGTATTTTGTTCCGTCATTTATTTAATCCTTGTGTTTCCTGCACTCCCCAGTGTTTTTCTTCCTGGTTGTTCAGTTCCTGTCTCACCTGTCTCCAAAGCAAATCAGTCCAGGTGTCGTCATGTTGTCTCATTAGTCTCCCTATAAATTCAGTGTCTCTGTGTGTCTGTTTGTCCATGTGTTGTGTTTCCCAGCCTGTCATGTCTGTTCCTCCATTGTTTCCTCCTCGTCGTCTCCGTCAGCTTTTGTTTTTGTTAAATAAACAGAATATTTTCATTTTACCTCAGAGTCTCCAGTGTCTGCCTGCACACGGGTTCAACACATTACCAGATTATGTCACAGCTCATGAACAATGGAAGCAAAAACAAAACGTTTCAATTTTATTTTTTGTTCAGCACAACTCCCTGACCCAAGAATCATCAAATAATTGAAAATAGCGCATGAACTTTAATCACAGATAGCTGTTATTTTCTGTTTTAACTGTTCTGTCATTTTCATTTTCATGCAGACATGAACTTGTAGCAGCTTTGCTGTGCGGAGGAGTCTCTGCTCCCCAGATCTGTTGATCGTCCTGACTTACACTACAGTGGAATGAGAAATATGCAGAGAGCAGCTTGCACAACATTTTAGTGAGAAGTATCAGGCTTTTCTACAGACATGCACACGCAAAGCAACAGTGCAAGCTTTGTGTTCCAGAAGTTGTGGAGTTCAGAAAACTTCACGTTCAGCAGTCAGACACTGAAAGGATTCCTGTGAGGTTAGTTGAGTCCTGTGAGAAAATCCATGAGAGGAAAAGCAGCGCTGGATTATTAACCGGAGCTATAAACAAAGCTTTTCAAGGATGAGGGTTCATCTTGACAAAAGGTGAACGTCCCTGTTGGGATGGGATCTGGTTCCAAGTCAATGTCCTTGACTTTAGGGTTACACTCGTGCACACTAGAAATTAGAGCATTCTCTAATTCACTGGCACATTTTGACTTAATGAGCTCTATTCTTTTAAACAGTGTCTTAGAAAGACATTCAAAAGATTAAAGCTTTTTTTTTTAACATTGTCTAAAAAATATTCCTTAAATCATTTTCACAATGATACCATGAGAAGTGTCGTATCTGTGCTTTTATTGGTGTGATTCTATTTTTGCTTTTTGGGTTCTGTTGTGGGGCAGCACGGTGGCGCAGTTGGTAGAGCTGTTGCCTCTCAGCGAGAAGGTCACAGGCTCAAATCCCGGCCTGGGGACTTTTCGGGGTGGAGTCTGCATGTTCTCTCCGTGCTGCGTGGGTTTTATCCAGGTACTCCGGTTTCCTCCCACAGACCAAAAACATACGTTAGGCTGATTGGTGACTCTGAATTGTCCCTAGGTGTGAGAGAGTGAATGGTTGTTTATCTCGTCTCGAAGTGTCCCTGAGAAGGACTGGAGACCTGTCCAGGGTGTCCTGAGATGGACTGGAGACCTGTCCAGGGTGTCCCTGTGATGGACTGGAGACCTGTTCAGGGTGTCCCTGTGATGGACTGGAGACCTGTCCAGGGTGTCCCTGAGATGGTCTGGAGACCTGTCCAGGGTGTCCCTGAGAAGGACTGGAGACCTGTCCAGGGTGTCCCTAAGAAGGACTGGAGACCTGTCCAGGGTGTCCCTGAGATGGACTGGAGACCTGTCCAGG